ATTTTGGTCTAAATCCTCATATGGCCAACCGACCTGCTTATCAAAGACCTTTTCCAGAAAGGATTATTAATGGATATCCTGTCCCCAGGAATTACATGCCACCAGATTTTCAAACTTTTTCTGGAAAGGATGGATCCTCTACTATAGAGCATGTGGGTCGTTTCACAGCGCAGTTAGGGGAAATTGGTAACAATCATTTTTACAAATTACAACTGTTTGGATTGTCTCTAACTAGGACAACTTTTTCATGGTTTGTAAGTTTGCCACCTGGGCAAATACAAACTTGTGAAGGTTTAGAGATGGCATTTCATGCCAGATTTTTCAATCCCTTGCCAACGGTTTCATTGACTGATTTATTGGAAATGAAACAATATCCAGAAGAGTCAGCTTCACAATTTATTAAAAGGGTGCGATTGATGAAAGGACGGTGTCCTACAATAATCAATGAAAAAGAGATAACCAACTTAGTGGTCCGAAATATGCATGGTCGCCTAAGGGATGTGGTCACTGCACATGATGTCGAGGATTTGGCAAGTCTCGCATCCAAGGTTGGACGTTTAGAATCTCTTTTTAGGGAAAGGGATCAGAATTTCAGGCGTAATAAAGGCCAACATATGGCTAGTATGGAAACAGAGGCATACGACTTTGATTATGATCAAACAGAAGGGATGGCGGCCGAAATAATTTCAGAGAAGCCTTATGTATGCTCTAAGTTAAAGCCAGCACCAGGAACAGAAGCTAAAGGGCAACCGACCTTTGACAATTCAAAGGCCGATGAGATATTTGATATTCTGCTAACTGATGGTTAGATTCGAATTCCAAAGGGGCAGAGGTTGGCTACTAAGGAAGAAATCAAAGGGAGGCCATACTGTAAGTGGCATAACTCTTTCACACACAATACAAGTCAATGCACTCATTTTCGAAATGAGATTCAAAAGGCTATTAAGGTAGGTCGGCTCAAATATATTACTTTGGGAGTGGAGCAGCAACCATTTCCAAAAGTAACCACAACAATGGTTAATATACAAGCAACTTCCAGAAAAGGGAAAGGGAATTCATCAAACAGTGGCCGACCAGAGGAGAAACTCAAAGTCTATGAAAAAACAGTGGCTGAAAAATGGGATAACCAAGACGGTTCTTTTAATGTGGAATTGAAGGAGCAAGTTTTGGTTTGGGACTACCCGACCAGGAGAACGGGTTCGGTCGGGAACAAATGGACTTGAAATAAGAAACCTTTACCAATTGATGTTGATCCTCGCTTCCCAGGCATGAATCGTACTCAGATTCGCAATGCCAAACGCAGGTACGCTGCGAGTTACAGAGAGAAGGTCGCCTCATCAAAGCAATCGAACAACAGCCGAGGCGCTGCTAAGTATACTGAGGGAGGTCGGTCCATCAGGGTTGTTTCGTTTGAGCAGCCGAATGAGGCAGAGGAAGGTCGGCTCATTGGGGTTGCCTCATCAAAGCAGCCGACCAGCATATGAGACACTGCTAATTACAAAAAGGGAGGTCGGTCCATGCAAAAGATGGGTAAAGGCTTGTCTGATGAAAGAGTTGAAGGTTTCAGATGTCAGTATTGCGAGAAGGTTAACATTAACCCATCACTGGAGGAATTTTTTGTTTGGAATCTCTAACTATTCACCCGGAAATTGAAGTCAGAGACGAAATTCCAGAGAATGTTTCAAGGTCTGTCAAATCTCGACTAGGGCCACGTATCCCTTGCCAAATGACAGAAATTAATTGGGTTGAGGAAGAGCCTTTGTGGGCAAGTCTGGTGGATGAGTTTATTGAAGAGCCATAATGGGCAAAGATTGCAGATCCCGATTTTCAATCAGAGGTCCCTCAAATAGTCTTCCCTCCCATTCCAGAAAGCATGGCGTCTCATGACCTGTCGCGCGGTCAATCAAATATTTCACCTACTCCATGATCACAATTTAATGTAATATAGGGGAAGGGATCGTCTCCACAGGGATTGTGTGATTCACTCTTTCGTGTTCTAATGCAGTAAATAAAGGGGGAATTTTCTTTTATTATCTAATGAAAATAAAATAACAAAGCAATTAAATTAAGGGGGAACTGACTTTCAATGGGATGCTTGGCTCAAGGGATGATGCAGCTATGACACTTGTGTTTTATCATTAATTCAATAAAATTAATTCTTATTAAAGTATCAATAAATTGGTTATAGTTATCAACAAGCTCTGACAACCAATTTTTCCTTACAGTGTAGGTAATTAAGGTACAACCGTTAACTACCCCTAATTAAGCAAATAAACCTAGGTGCGCCCATAAGAATATTGCCTAACCGCATTCCAATCTAGAAAAACCCAATTCAAAACAATTACTACCTAAGAGGAGCAATTAAATTTGATTGTCTAACCCCCGGGAAGGAACTATTCAACCCGGTTGTCACCTATTCAAGTGCGAATACAATTACGGATATCCTACCTGAATTGACTTTAGATTATCAGACTAATTTAAATATTGGTACCAAAATATTCAATCAATCTAACAATCACAAATGCTATTCTCAGAATTAGACAAATATTGATAATAAAAAGAACTTTTATAAAGAAAATCAAGAATCTTCAAAACAAAAGAACCAAAACATTATCACCCCTCAAACCAGAAAAGTATCTACTCCATAATCAAATAACAAAGAATAAAAGAGAGAGATGAAATCATAGTGGGAGGGGTAAATCTTCTCTGTTGATTTGCTTCTGCGCGATCTATGAATCTGTCAGTCTCCTGCTCTTGTGCGTTTCTGCCCTAGCCGTTCTCTCCTGCCAAATAGGCGTGTCTTTTTCTTCTTATTTGATTTTTGCCCTAATTATTTTGTAGATGGGCTTTTGGGCCTTTAATTAATTTTATTTCCTTTTTTTCTGCCAATTATGTCAAATTTAATATTTGCCCTATGCACACAGCAAATAAACAATTCGCATATAAATTAGGTAGAATCCAATCAAAATCACCCAAATATCACCTATGATATGAATATAAAACGCATGCGATTTCTAACATCAATTCTCCCCATACCTAGATCATGCTTGCCCTCAAGCATAAATTCGAAATAAGCCAAAGAAATCGCAGGCAACTCGATATGACAACAGGATCCAACACAACCAATTCAATCCGAATTTTAACACATCAAGCCAAGTCAACCTCACAAGATAAAGTGTATTCGCACATGCTCTCTGAAGAAATTAAGTGTGTAATTGGCTCAACACTCAGGTAGTGCTACAATAGATTATTCTATAGGCTTGAGTAAAAATCAAATCTCCCTTGCTTAAAATATTCGAATCTAGCATAAAGAATCAAAGGGACTTTCAATAAGGGTTGTAACGGGGCTTATGGTCAGTGTAGGAAAAATGATATACAAGGGCTAAAATATGTCAGAAAAGAATACAATAAGAACACGATGCTAGCATATGAAAAATAAATCGGCATAAACAATGAAATCCTTACTCTATTCACTGCCCAAAGTTTAATAATGAAATTAAATGAAAATACTTTATTAAGATAATTACTTATTTATTTATTTTTGTATTATTTTTTTGTTTTTTTTTTTTTCATTTTTTTATATATATATTTTTATTTCTTGTATTTTTTTTTATTTTTTTATTTTTATTTTTTTTACTTTTGTCTTTATATATATATGTATAAATATACTTTTACTACCCATAATTATTCCTTCGTAATGTGACTTATTCGTACCCAAAGTTTGTTTCTAACTAGTGCCGAAGAAATAAAGTGCATCACAACATGGACTTAAAGTAATTCTTTCTAACATAGGGTTCAAATCGGAGAAGGCTCAATCGAAAGAAGGGTATGAGGCTAAAAAAAAGTTTATTATAAAAGAAAAAAATAGGCTAAAAAGGCTCAAATGGGCTAACTAGGGAAATATATTGTGCTGGGTAATAAAGAAAGGCTTAATGGGTTACCTAATGCCCTTATCATTTTTAAAACGCGAGACTCGATAGTTGCAAGTTCAACATGCATAATCACTCAAGTTCTAGGTCATCTAATTGAGCACTACAAATCACACATGAAATAAATTTCCAAAAGCTTGAATATATGCAATTTATTTTCTAATGTGACTTTTGGAACATAGGCTCAAATTCTAACAGGGTTCAAACGTCGACTTGACTCAACATATCACCAATCAAATGCCATTAGTCATGCCAAACTAACCTATCACACAAATCACCTTTGACTCACTTCAGACTAATTTCAAAAACATGCGAAAAGACAGCAAATCAGGCATAAAAATAGCACAAAATGAAAATTTTGCCCAAAAATTTGCATAACTCTCCCCACACCTAAAGTATGCATTGTCCTCAATGTAAAGAAAGCAATGAAAGAAGAGAGGAACTTCCCTGAAGTCCATAGGGGTGTAGTAGTTGGGAGCTTTGTTAACACCTCTTCATTTGATCGTAATTTTTAGGGAGGCTTGAAGTTCTCCTTAGTCCTGCGAAAACAACTAACCAACGCAAGCCATTTAGAGGAGCGGATGTGGTGATCGGCGATGACTGAGCAGGGGAGGAAGAAGTCGACGGCGCCGGAGGTTGGAGGCGGTGACTAAACCAAACAAAACTTTGAAAAGTATTATTAGCAATTAAATAATAAAAATAAATAAAATTAAAGAAAACAATTAAATGATTTGGGTTGTCTCCCCAAAAGCGTTTTTCTTTATAGTCTTTGAGCTAGAGTTCGCATCGCATCAATTCTGAACATCAAAATCGGCAACGGGTGCCGACTTTATAGGATCAAGTGAGGGTCCCTCGTGGTATAATTTGAAGCGATGTCTATTGGCCACACACTTTTTCTTCGGCTTAGAATTTTGATTCTCCTTATGACATTTTTTCGCTGCCAGCAATGGTGATCCCTTGGGAATCTATCTCCACTTTTCGACAATATTTTTTCCTTTTTTACTCTCTCCAGTCGGTCTTTTCTCTAACTGTTTTGTCAACACAGTTCTTCGTTTATTCTCATTACCAACTTCACAAGTTTCCTGCACCACAGAATTAATAACATTAATTGCATATAACGATTTAGATTCAACAGGACATTTGACGGGATTAAAATATATTGAAATGAAATTCTTCTCCATCAAACTCCAGGCTGTGTGTGCCCTTTCTAACATCTATCTTCGCTCCTGCAGTGCACATAAAAGGTCTTCCTAACAAAAGAGGGGCTGGATTAAAGCAATATGCATCGTGCATATCTAGAATATAAAAATCAACAGGAAAAATTAAGTCATTCACTTGAACTAGTACATCTTCTACCATACCATCAGGATAAGCATTAGTTCGATCAGCAAGTTGAATAATAATTCCTATTTCTTTTAGAGGCCCTAGATTTAAAGAGTCGTATATTGATCGAGGCATGACATTAATAGCATCTCCTAGATCTAGCATAGCCTTAGTTATCTCAGTTTTTCCAATCTTACAAGGGATAGAAAACATACCTGGATCACCTGTTTTAGGTGGTACCTTTCTTTTGATAACAGCAGAAACGTTCTCACCCGCTATAATGTGCTCGTCTCCTCGCAATTTCCTTTTGTTAGTGCACAGTTCTTTCAAAAACTTTACGTACTTGGGGATTTGGTTGATAGCTTCCAGGAGCAGGATATTAAGTTCCACCTTCTTGAATATTTCCATCATCTCTTTTCGTTTGTTTGCCTTTTGTGGTTTCTTCAACCTGTCAGGAAAAGGAGCTGATTCAGTTTCAGTAGGAGGAACAGAGTTAGGAAGTACCTTTTCGTAAAGTTCAACTTCTTTTTCAATCTCCATCTCAATCTGATCCTCATTCTATTCCTTTGAGATAGGAGGTGGACCTTCCAATTCTTTTCCGCTACGAAGGGTTATAGCACTCGTATTCCTTGGATTAGGCCGGGAGGAACATTCAATCATCGTATCACTGCAGATAGTGATGGCGCCGACATTTGCTGGATTTGGCTCAGGTTGAGCATGTCACTTTCCTTTTTCACGTAGCTGTCTCACCTCCTCTGACACTTGATTGATCTGACCTTGAAATTTGTCTACAGTTGACTTCATCTCTTGCTGGAATTGCAGGGTACTGGTAGCCATAGACTTTACCAAGTCTTCCAAAGATGGACTGGAGTTGCTTATGGGTGCTTGGGGCGGCTGTTTCTCACAAAAACGAGGTTGTTGCATCTGCTGCATAGCTCCGAATGGTTGATGAGCATTACCCTGCTGGCGTTTCCATAACGCAGGTTCGGATGATCTCTCAAGACTGGATTGTAAGTGTTGGAGTATGGATTGTACATTGGAGGTCTATTCATACCGTAGTTTGCAGTGTTCACATCCACTGCACATTCTTCTTGGAGGGTCGGACATGCATCTGTAGGGTGTCCTGCACTCGTGCATATTCCACACGCCTTGACCTGGACACTCGGGTTGGATTTTTTCACGACCATCTTGCAAACGAAGCTCGTCAAATCAGAAAGTTGTTGCTGCATCGATTGGATGGCATGGTCGTTGTTGTTTCCGCTCATATGTCCAACATCTCTTGAACCAAATTGCTACGTGTTTTCAGCCATCCTCGCAATAAGATCCCAAGCTTGTGCTGGCGTCTTATTTACTAAAGGTCCACCACTTGCAGCATCGATAATGTTCATGTCCATCAATGACAAACCATCATAAAAGTATTGAATCAATAATTGAGGGGGAATTTGATGTTGTGGACATTTAATGATAAGCTTATTGAATTGCTCCCAATATTCATAGAGCGTTTCACCTGATTGTTGCTTGATGCCACATATCTCCTTTCTCAGGATCGCAGCTCTGGAAGCTGGAAAGTACTTCTCCAAAAATTTCTTCTTCATGTCATTCCACGTGTCGATACTTCAAGGTGGGAGATAGTAGAGCCAATCCTTTGCAGCATCTTTGAGTGAGAATGAGAAGGCTCTGAGTTTGATCTGTTCGTCAGTAACACCTGGTGGTTTCATGCTGGAGCACACCACGTCGAACTCTTGCAAGTGTTTATGAGGTTCTTCACCTGAAAGTCCATGAAAAAAAGGCAATAAATGAATTAATCCAGATTTCAGTTCAAAAGTAATAGTGTTATTCAGAGTTGGAAAGTTAATGCATAAGGGCTACTGCGCCAGGTTGGGAGCAGTCAACTCCCTTAGAGTGCGGGTATCCTCAGCCATGACAGTCTCTTGATCACTTTCAAAGTCGCTAGAGCTAGAGATTTTGAGGTGGTTTAAAGATTCTGCCAGCTTCGCAACCTGAGCAGCTTTTCATTGCTTGGCTTCCTTTCGTAGCTTTCGCACAACCTTCTCGATCTCAAGATTAAATATCAGTTCACCTGTACGAGAAGAACGGGGCATAAACAAGAGGATAAATTAAAATAACACAAAGAGTAAAACAAAGCGCCAATCCCCGGCAACGGCGCCAAAAATTGACCTGTCGCGCGGTCAATCAAATATTTCACCTACTCCATGATCACAATTTAATGTAATATAGGGGAAGGGATCATCTCCACAGGGATTGTGTGATTCACTCTTTCGTGTTTTAATGCAGTAAATAAAGGGGGAATTTTCTTTTATTATCTAATGAAAATAAAATAACAAAGCAATTAAATTAAAGGGGAACTGACTATGAAGGGGATGACTGGCTCAAGGGATGATGCAGCTATGACACTTGTGTTTTATCATTAATTCAATAAAATTAATTCTTATTAAAGTATCAATAAATTGGTTATAGTTATCAACAAGCTCTGACAACTAATTTTTCCTTACAGTGTAGGTAATTAAGGTACGACCGTTAACTACCCATAATTAAGCAAATAAACCTAGGTGCGCCCATAAGAATATTGCCTAACCGCATTCCAATCTAGAAAAACCCAATTCAAAACAATTACTACCTAAGAGGAGCAATTAGATTTGATTGTCTAACCCCCGGGAAGGAACTATTCAACCCGGTTGTCACCTATTCAAGTGCGAATACAATTACGGATATCCTACCTGAATTGACTTTAGATTATTAGACTAATTTAAATATTGGTACCAAAATATTCAATCAATCTAACAATCACAAACGCTATTCTCAGAATTAGACAAATATTGATAATAAAAAGAACTTTTATAAAGAAAATCAAGAATCTTCAAAACAAAAGAAAAAAAACATTATCACCCCTCAAACCAGAAAAATATCTACTTCATAATCAAATAACAAAGAATAAAAGAGAAAGATGAAGTCATAGTGGGAGGGGGAAATCTTCTCTGTCGATTTGCTCCTGTGCGATCTATGAATCTGTCAGTCTCCTGCTCTTATGCGTTTCTGCCCTAGCCGTTCTCTCCTGCCAAATAGGCGTGTCTTTTTCTTCTTATTTGATTTTTGCCCTAATTATTTGTAGATGGGCTTTTGGGCCTTTAATTAATTTTATTTCTTTTTTTCTGCCAATTATGCCAAATTTAATATTTGCCCTCTGCACACAGCAAATAAACAATTCGCATATAAATTAGGTAGAATCCAATCAAAATCACCCAAATATCGCATATGATATGAATATAAAACGCATGCGATTTCTAACTATCATCTTATTTGAAGCCTCTGTACGTTAATGCTCATATCTGTGGGAAACCAATCACAAAGGTTTTCATAAATAATGGGGCCGTCTTCAATGTAATGTCATTAAAGACTCTCAAGAAGTTAGGAAAGGGAATTCACGATCTATCTCCTGTGGATTTTGAGATGACTAGCTTTACAGGGCAGCCGACCAGACCAGAAGGCATGCTGGTCGCCTCAATAGAAGTCGGTCCAAAAAAGATTTCTTCTGTTTTCTTCGTGATGGATACAGATACCACATATTCAATCCTGCTTGGACGAGATTGGATTAATGCATCTAAATGTGTGCCATCAACCCTACATCAACAATTAATGTTTTGGGAAGACAATCAGGTCTTTAAAATGGAAGTGAATGACAATCCGTTCGGAGCATCAGAACAAGTTGAGGAATCAATTTGTTTTTTTTGGTCATGTGCCTTATATGTCTCAGTTTTTTATGGCTAATGAATACCCAAAGAAGGGTTTTTTATAATATTTTTATGGAAGAAGCAGAATTACAAGATTTTAGTTTACTTATTAATCAGTATTATTTAAACCAGCTTTTGAAAAAAGTAGTAGGGAAAAATAAAAAGATATATGATGTTCATTTCCAAGAACATAAACAATTTCGTTGGCCTGATTTGTTAGAGAAAACAAAGCCAACTTTTTCAGCACAAGATCCTTTGTTGGAATTTAACTTAGGAACCGACCTGGTTCCAAAAATAATCAGAATGAGTGGTTATTTATCTGAAGTGCAACAAACATTGATGCTCGAGGTTATAAGAAACAATATTGATTGTTTAGCTTGGGACTATTCAGAAATGCCTGGTCTGGAGCGAAGTCTGATAGAACATCGATTGCCCATTAAAAAGGATTTCAAGCCTTGTAAGCAATCTCCAAGACGTATGAGTCCTGACTTGATGCCTCAGATCAAAGAAGAGATTCAGAAGCTTCTTAAAGTGGGTTTCATCCGACCTTGCCGTTATGCGGATTGGTTGGCCAATCCAGTGGTTAAGAAGAATGGTAAGATCATGATATGCATCAATTTTAGAGATCTTAATATGGCTACTCCTAAAGATGAGTACGTGATGCCTATGGCCGACATGTTAATTGACTCAGTAGCAGGGCGCATGATTCTCAGTTTGATGGATGGTTATGCGGGTTATAACCAAATCTTTTTGGCAGATGAGGACATTCACAAGACATCATTTAGATGTCCAGGAGCATTATGTATTTATGAATGGACAGTTATGCCTTTTGGTTTGAAGAAAGCTGGGGCGACTTATCAGAGAGCCATGAACTCAATTTTTCATGATCTCATTGGTAAGTCTATGGAAGTGTATATTGATGATGTTATTGTCAAATCTTCTAGTTTTGAGGAACATTTGAGGGATCTTAAGGATGCTTTCAGTCGGATAAAGAAGTACAAATTGAAGATGAACCCAACTAAGTGTGCTTTCGGTATATCAGTTGGTAGTTTCTTGGGGTTCTTGGTTCATGAAAGAGACATTGAGATCGATGCTAATAAAGCCAAGGCAATTCTTACCAGCCGACCACCTCAGACGGTTAAAGAATTTCAAAGTCTGTTGGGGAAGGTGAATTATCTTAGGCGGTTCATTTCTAATGCTGCTGGCAAGGTCAGACCAATCACTAAATTATTGAAAGCATGAGAAAACGCCTTTGAGTGGGGACCAGACCAACAGACAGTTTTAGAGTCTATAAAGCAAGCATTGGCTCAACCACCTGTGTTGATGCCTCCCAAGGAAGGTCGGCCCCTCAAACTTTATTTGGCAAATACCTATGAAGTGGTCAATTGCTTATTAGCTCAAGATGGAGATGATGGAAAGGAAAGATGGAGATGATGGAAAGGAAAGGGCAATTTATTATTTGAGCAAGACTCTCACATGACCATAATAAAATTATACAATGCCAGAGAAGATGTCTTATTCATTGGTGTTTGCATGCACCAAACTTGAACATTATATGCTGCCTAGAAGAGTTGAGGTTATTTCAAAGATTGATCTCATCAAGTTGATTTTGCAAAGATCTACGATGCAGGGCAGACTCATGAAGTGGGCCATTAAATTGGCGCCTTTCGATTTGTGTTATTCCCCTTTGATGGCGGTCAAAGGCCAAGCAATAGCAGACTTTTTGGAAGACTTTGCAAGTCGTGAGGAGCAACCGACTGGGTGTATATCTTATGTAAACACCCGAAATTG